GCGTTTATTTAATATTCCGTATTTATTGCGCGATATTTTTTACATCAATATGTGAGTTGTTTATATTTTTTTTTATTTTGCGGATAATCTAAAAATAAATCATGGCTCCATCTATAAAATTATGTTATAAACAGATTCGCAATTAAGCAAACTGTTTACTTTAGAAAAAAACAGAAAAATAAAAGCTATTTTTGCTTTATTTATAGGGACAACATTTGCTCTTGAAACTGCGAAACTTTGCGCGTGTCCGGAATAATCGTTAATCCAAATAGATTCGCGTTACATCATCATGCAGCGCACACAATCGCAGCGTTTCTCATTACCGGCACAACCGAGGAAATTGTTAAATGAGGAAAGGAGAGGAAAAAAAAGATCCTCGATTCGTTATCGATATTGCTGCCCATGTGGGTGTTGCTAAGCCGGTTGTGTCACCAACAAAACAGTACAGATAATTGAAACGAATGACGGGGCGCCCCTGGTCGAGTGCCAATTATCGAATACACATCGTCGTTACTACGACGACTAGGTGCAAAAAGCTTTTCGCGGCACGGGTAAGCGCCATATATCGTGTTCCTCGAAGTGCTTCGTTCTCGGCCTCGCGTAAAACCACGTTCCGCGATACAGAGAGTTGCATAACGGATGCTCCTCGAGATGCTGCAAAAAGCGGCGGTGCAGCAGACGCGTCGCAGAGCACGCGGACACCTCGGATTTATTTCGAATCTAGTTTTGCACTCAGACACGCGCCTTAAATCCCTATCTACTCGAATAATACTTCGTAGATTACAGTTCTTTGTCTTGCAGCGTAATCCACGCTTGCATTTTCATCAAAATAAAATATGCTGCACGACGTACGTTTCCACCGCGTTGTATCTGCTCAAGGTTTATCGCTTGACATTGCTGCTTCGCGAGATCACAGTATTCATCAGTCTTTTTTAAGCCTTGACAATGAATATTCTTGCATGATATGGAAGGAGCATTAATCAACAGAATTAAGACAGCTCGTCTACTGCATTTTTTCCCGTACTGTTTCTTCCTGAATTCTTACTGTACAATTTTTAATTTTTTTAGATATTAAATTGAAATACGCGAAAGCCTCGAATAATATTTTGTTCAATGCTCAAATGTTCTAAAAATAAAAGCTGCTATACTATCGAGTTATACAACTCATTTTAGATGCTGGAAACGCTTGAGTGAATAAGAGGATGCGCTGCGTTTATTTCGAATTCCATTTTACGCTCTCTGTCTCTCTCTCTCTCCCTCTCTCTCTCTCTCTCTCTCCTCTCTCTCTCTCTCTCTCTCTCTTCCTCTCTCTTTCTCTCTTGTATGAACAATAATATTCGACGTTTCGTCATCGAGACGCGATATCGCGTCAGTTACAACCGTCAGCATGAAAACGATATCGCCGGTATCTTTGTGGCGCGTACAGAGCACAACTCGATTCCTATCGGGTTTCGACGCGACTGGCAGCAGATACATCGACGGCGGTCTCGGTTATTTTACGATTAAAGGGGTTACGATTCAAAGAGATGCACGTGCGGACCTCGTAAAATTCTCTTTGAAGAGGGAAATAAATGCGTGATGCGTGCGTCATTTCGTGCGTTGAAAGGGAGAAAATAAATGGATGTATGTAGGCACGCATATTTCAGCCGGCAGACTGACACCTAGAAATTGCACGTACTCCAAACTTTCTCTTTCCCCTTTTCGTCGCCCACGTTTTCGGCCGGGTCGAACTTTTGTTTTCGCACGCGGATGATGCAGGGTGTCTTCTCGAAAAACCTCTCCCCGTTCGGTCTTCAGAAACAGATGTAGGGTGAATTAAATTTCAGTTAGTTTCAATTGATTCGTTAACTTTTTTTTTTTTTTAAATAGGCGCTTCAATTACCAAAGTTATTGTTACCCGTATATTCGTGTAACCGACTTCTTGTTTAGTCAACGGTATCTACAGTTCGGAGAAAGTGTCCGATTTCTCTGGCTCACTGCAATAAGCAACGAAACGTATTTCTGCGAATCTATGAGTGCAAATATAGTAATCTGTTATTGCACTGCGACATATTAGGCTAGTATGATAACATTACTCTGCTACAATGTCGAAGAGAGAGTCGTCACGCTAACGCATTTACCAACGGAAATGGAGTAGCGCGCGGTTCCATTATCGTTGAAAACTGCGAGCCATGGCTTCCAGACGAAATCCAGACGAGATCGTGAAAGCTCTCGTTATAGACTTCCGCGCGTCATCCCGTGCCAGAAGATCCGGGGCTAATTATGACGTATATCCACATCCGTAGTCGCGTATATATAACAGCCACTCTATACTTAGCGCCGTGATATAAAGTGATTTGTTTACGATCTCTCTAAGCAGCAAAACCGACAGCTGGGTTTTGCTAACAGGAGAATTTAAACTTTATCTTAACTACCCTCTATCTTCAAGTGGTAAATATTTAGCAGTATAATTAGTATAATAATAATTAGTAATATTATTTCAACGTATTTCTTCACGCGACATTAGGAAAAAGTTAATTAAATAATGATAATAATAGAATAATAGAAAAGTTAATTAAATAACTAGCTGCGTAAAAGAGACTAAAAGAGTTCATTTTTTATAAAATTTATTTTTCGAGTAACTATGTATGATGTCGTTTTTGTTTTGGAATGTTGTGATATTCATCGCGTATAAAAAACAGCATTATTTCTATTAATAATGCATTATTGCGATAGGAAGGATTTCCTTATTCAGCATATTATTATATCTTACATAAGAGCCTCATATATTGCGTCTTCGGTATAATCGATGAGATGAGTTCGGTGTCGACGCCGGAAATCACGGGCTCGTATACACACGCGGCCACCGCAAGATCCGTTCGCCATTATTTTGGGGAGGAAAGGATCTGGGAGGAAGCCCGGATATTTTGGTTGCTGAACGCGGAGAACGGAGACTGCGGCTTGGGCGAACGATGACATCATTCTAGTACGCGGGATCAAGGGCGGTGAAGAGCGTGTTGAACGCTACGCTCTCGAAGGATCTACTCTGCGTTCGTCTAAGTACACGTGCACTCACGCGCTAGAGTGTTCTCGACTGCACTCTTGAGAACGTTGCCCACACACGTTTGTTTATTGAACCTTCTGATAATTATACTCATATTTTTTGAGAAAATCTTGACGGCTTTTTAGAGAAACGAGGCTTTTTTTATTTCCAGACTCATTTTTAACCTCATCCGAAAATTTTATTATTGCGAAATGCCCTTGAGAATGAGCAGCGTTAAAATTCCTCTTTTTTTTTTTTTGTCACTTTTATTACTCGCAATAAACTTGGTACGAGCGAAACGGAACGAAGTACAGACGTATTTTGCAATCTTCTGCCGTTTTATTACCTGACCGATAGGTCATTCTCTGGGTAGAAGCGGAACAAATGCGCTGCTTTCGAGCGGTTTGTTGTCATTTACGCATAAATACTGAAGCCGATTTCATAGACATACATACGTGTAGTTAGAATTAGCGAGAGACAGACGGTCGGCTGTGGAAAAACAGGATACCACGTCGTCGTCCGCCTGTTGCGAATGTCTCCGGTTACTGACACACAAACGCAGCAGTTAGCTTTGCACGTGGGTGGATAAGTGTGCATTACAATCTTTTTCTATGACATGTTTTCGAGGATGGGAAACGTCTACTTAAGTCTGCGAATAGTCCGATGTCTAATAAACGTGTGCGTGTCGGATATAGGCGGCTACATTTTGACATTTACATTTACATGTGCCTATTAATTGAATTTTCTTATTTTTCTATAAGTTTCATTAATTTCGTTAATCATTTCATTAATTTTTTAAATCTTGCAAACTAATTATGTTCCATAATCGACTTTTCTATACGTATATGATTGATCCTAAAATATGGTATGTTAAAATAATTAAAAATAAATGTTAAAATTAATTTTTTTTTTAAATTTTAAGAAGCAGCTTTGTAGATTTTTTTTCGGAAGAAGATAAAGATTTTTCTTATTATTTTTAATAAATTTTTTGGACGTCTGGAATAGTAATATTTTGTCTGGATAATTGAGGAATAAAAATATATCGCCCAATTCTGAGGAAATATAATCTAAATACTCGGTAGATTTCCTACTTTCTTTATAACAGGATCTCGCACATTGGCGTATTAGATAACTCGCTTAATCATGAATAACCGCATTACCGTGTGTTAGGAGAGCAACGATAAAACTGTGATTCCTTTTTTCCTGTATGTAGCAACTCGTTATCGGTTTGAATTAATTTTTAGAATTTTAAGGTCGCATAATCCATAAGAGAAATATAATTTCTAAGTAACACTACTGATGCTAAATGTCAGACTTTATTAGAGGTCCTTGCAAAACTCCCCTCGTTATTGCAAAGATTAATCGATAAGTTGGATAGTTTCCAAAAATCGACCACAAGGGACGATTAGCAATGTCGCGACATTCCCGTTGCGAATAATCCAATTGCGGCTTTCTCCACTATTTGTCGTCCGGATCGCTTTCTGCGATTACAATTTTGACGATCACCGATCTCTTTGCAGACGTGCTATCATTACTCAAAGCCGTAACGATCGCGTCAAGAAGGGAGATCTTGAAATGCTTCAAGACCTCGTCGCAGGAAGGACGTTTTTTACGTTCCGCAAAACGGGCAATATTTCCGTGGATCAAAATTTCCGAAAGCCGTTCGGGATACCGAGACGTCGTAGCGGGATTCCCTGAAGCTCTCTTCTTCTCTCGGCGACGGACAATTATTCAGGCGAGAGACGTATGCTTTGTGGTGGTACGCGGCCATCGAGCGCGGGGTGTCGAGCGCTCAGGCCATACGGGAGAATGCCGATCGGACGACAGTACGAGGGGCAGTCGTCGAGTGGTGGAAACGGTGGTGGTGCGTTGGCCGGAATTGGGATCGCGAGGGGCCAGCTGGCGGACTAATGCGGTCCCGCAATGTTCCGCGGGGACGAGAAGACGGTAGTGGGCCCCAGGTGGAAGAACTATGTAAGAGGCGAAGCGCGAAGCGGGGGGACGAGGTCGTCACGCCGCCGGCGGCGGCGCGGCTAAGGTGCCAGAAGGCGGCAGAAGAGGTTGGCCTTATAGAGGGTTTATAGTTTGCGTAGGATAGACGATGAGCGTCGAGGTCGACACGCTGGAACTCGAGGTCTTCGAGGTGAGTCTTCAACCCCTCTCGAGGACGCGACGAACGGAAGTCGCGCGCGCGCGCGCGCGGCGCCGGCGCTGTCAAAGGGAGCCGCGTTAACGAGGCGATCGTTTCTCGAGGAAATGCGGAATGCTTCGATGATACGGTCGTCGCCGAGCAGTCGACGGCTTGATTTTAATCCGCGCGTTTATTTGCTTAATTTCTTGCCATCGTCTTATGCTGCTACTTAAGAGATAACTAGGATTTTTCTTTCCTTGAAGAGTTAGAAAGCGGACAGAGAGTTTTAATGTATTATCATTGCAACCTTATGATTTTTTCTAATTTTGTATTAATAGCGAAAAGAGTGAGTAAATATTATCTTTATTAATTAATAATTTTTAATTAAATAAGGCAGGTGCTTTATATATAAAGATAAATAATTTTGTATATTAGTCAACTCTCTCTCTCTTTACGTTATGCCGAAATATGATTTTACGCGCTTGTATAAATTCGAGCAATAATTATGAAACTTAATTACAGTTGCAATAATTGTTTGATTCATAATGCGATGGTAAGATTAAGTATTATTATATCGTTTTTTCAAAATTGTATAACAATTTTTTTTACATTTTTACCGGAGATAAATTGCTTCCAATTAATGCATAAAGTTTAACATTTCTGGCACTAATGTAAGATTTTAATTCTCGTTCGGTATCAAATCGAGAACAATACTCGTTAAAAAAAAAAATTTAACTTCCTGCGCCATAACGCCGAGGCTGAAGAGTTATGTAACTTTCGATATTACGCAATAGACTTCCGTTCGCTGGCCCGCGTGCTGTTTGACAAGTAATGCGCTTTGATCATAACTTTGTCGGCGTGATTGAGATATTACCACGAACACACGTCTGTCAAGTATTTCGATTAACACAACCGCATTCTCCTCTCCTTACCTTATCGTGTCACATTATTCATATTTATCATTTCCGATCCTTATCGCGTCACATTATCCATTATTGGACAGCCAGGCCATTCATATTTGTCCACATCTAAAAAGAAAGCAAAATAATTAATCGAAAATAATTAATTAGCCTTGTCGCGTTGATGTATCGCCAAATATTGTAATTATAAAGTGATTGCAAGCAAATTTTCACGAAACAACAAATTTAGGTGATATTTATATAAAATCTGTTTTAATTCAATTTCTCCGTACAATTTAATTTTTGCTGATCAGTAGTTCTTTTGCACTTTCTCGAATGCAAGTTAAATTCTGTTGTACGTGAAATTGACATCGCATGTAACTCGTAATGTGCCTGCGAGAGCAGTTCGGAATTTTTTATCCGACCAGTCTTCGTACTATCTGATTGTTTAGCTTCCTACACGCTTTCAGCGTACCTAGAATCAAATTATATAAATGCTAAGAAAAGAAAATTTCTGTATAATCAAAGATATAATGATAATAATCAGAAGTGAATCAAAATTAGAATTATTTTAAATAATAATGGATCAGAGAATCGATCGGTTATTTTAAACGTTGCGAGAAAGATATGAGAATCATAAAAATCGTTTCTGCATTCAATTTAACGATTTCTGTTTACAACCCGGAGCAACTCCGCGCGTTATAGTATTCTCATGGTCCATCAAACGGCGTGGACTTTGACAGACATTTTCTCACACGTCATCCGCCGTGAAAAAAAAACAGTAAAACGCGACGGCGATCGCGGCTTATAACCCAATAAAGCTCTTATAGACGTTCAACTTTACGTCCATCGACATGCTGAAGCTTTATATCGCGCGAGTTTACCGGAAAAAGTCTCGATTCGCTTTGTCCATGACACGTTTTCATGCACGCGTGCCGCCGCGATCTATACTCGTGCAGGTCGCTCTGCTTTTCACTCGTTTTCTAGAGCACCCACGATCTTCGGGGTTTATTTTATACAGCCCACACGAATCGGGTAAGCTGTCGGCAAAGTGGTGCACATACACACATACACACACACACACACACACACGCGCGCGAGTAGTGTGCAATCGATATTTATGCGCACAAAGAATACGAATATATTACAATAAATTTCTTTTCCAGTTGAGATGTGTGCATGCATAAATATGAAATTTTGATCGTTCTCATCTTCATCTTCATTTATCTCGAAGAGAAATAGTGTATATGCTTCTGCAACGAAGATTGATTAATTAAGCAGGATTAACTGGTCCGGATAGAATCGCTTCACATCTCTTTTATGGGCGATTCCTCGCTTTTACGCGAACCTCGTAAGAATGCAGTATCGTTAAATGACATTGAAGTCTTACGGAGCTTCTTCTCAAAGTAACCGATTTATTTTTAAACGCCGGCACAAACAAGATTTAGCAGACGGCGCCTATTTTAATCCTATTTGAAACTTGGAAAGTATTAAGTATCAAGTAGTCACGCTGACGGCCGTTTCACTCTAACAGTCTAGCTATATAAATGAAACGTTTTAAAAGAATTGCGTCTATTTATCGTAAGAAAAAATTGAGCGCAGTTTTGTAAATACATTTTGGGAATTTGCGGAATAATGCGCCCGTCATTAATCCTCGACAATACCTCCATCCAGCATCATCAATCACGTTTTACTTTCTCGATGGATGAACCGCGGCGTCACAATCAATGGGAATTTTCGCTCTTACCTGCGTAATTCGCGAACGATGTAGAGACGAAAAAGCGCATCTGTCGTGCCAAACGGCGTGTGTCCTCGACCGATCGTTCCTACCCTTGAATCTGAGTCAAGTAACGTGAGCGGCTGATGTCGCGCGACTCTAAGGTAAAGGACTGCGACGACGAGACCGAATTAGCGGATGCGGCGACACGTCGTGGTACCGCGAGGACGACGTCCAGGAGCAGCGAGGCTGGTGGCCGCAGGTGTTCGACGCAGGAGGCCGAGGAGGACGACGACGGCGTTGGTAGCAGCAGTCGCAGGAAGCGGAAGAAGCGGCGGAAAGCGCAGCGGGGCAAGCAGTTGCAGCTGCAGCAGCCGCAGCTGGAGGTGACGACAGGCGGCGTTCAGCAGCGATCGCACACGGTGCTCACCCTCGCCTCGTCCTCCGACGAGGTGGAAGCGGTGGGCGAGTGCTCCAAGAGGGACTCGTCCAGCAGCCTGGGCGGCGGCAGCCGGCACAACACCCTGCGTGAGTCCCTGCTGACGGTGCTGGGCAAGCTGGTGATCTGGAAGGGCACCAGATACCGCTCCGCCACCGCCGCCTCGTCGTCCTCGCTGGGGCCGCCGAATTCACCACCCGCCACTGAGTGCATCGGTCGTAGCACGTCCTTCTTTTCCAGCGGTGAGTTCCCACGAGTTCTTCGGGGAAGTGCATTCCCAGTCGCAGCGCTGGTTACGAGTCAAGGTTTCGGACGGTTGCGTTATGTCAATATGCGGCTGCAAAAGAAATAAATTTCTATATGTCCTAATTTAACAGCTTTTTTTTTATGGAATGATTTAGTGAGGATTTTTTTTTTTTTTTAAGGATTTGATGATACGCTTTACAGTGAATACGAATGATCCATGCGCAACGTTAATACCTGCCTATATTTATACTTTTCTGTCACGTTAAATTTTGTTGATATTTATAGAGAAGATATTTTTTTATTCTACATTCCTGTATGTTTCGCTTTCATATTTTTGATTGTGGAAATATTTTATTGGACTGCGAGTTTCTTTGACACAGTCACACAATTTGGCAACGTCAAATACATTACTTCGTTTCATTTGACTGATACGCTACATCGCTTGCATCGCTCCTTTTGACGAGATTTGTATAGCGTACAAACAATAATGCATACGCGAGTTATGTAACAGATATGACGATCGATGCTGCTACTGATTTTACGTGTAATGCAAGTTTCAGCGACTTATGTACGACTATCAAGGTTCCGCACCTTGGACATTCGAATGACATATTAAAAGCCATAAATTAAACAAGAGTGTGTGACACCCACGTACCTCTTCGCGAACACGTGACAGAGAGATGCCTGCTACGTAAGATCGATCCGATCGTTCTTCGCGTTCACCGCTGGACTTTGCTACACACTTCGCATGACGAGCCAACGATTAATAGTTTATCCAGTTATGTAGAACTGCCGCAGAAAGTAGACGTATAACAAGCGTATGTAAAGCAATGCACTTGACTATAAGACCGATTAACTGCGGAAAAAATCAACTACTGTATCTTTTCACGGTTGTGAAACGTTTGAGTTGCATTTTTTTATATTTATACGCGGATAATAATAAGCGACTAAAATAATTGTGATTGCTTAATATTGCCGCATAAGAAAATTTTGGTCTTTTTCCTTACTGTCTACTTGTTCACTGCAACATCCGCATTCCTTCTCAATAATGCGATATGAACGATAGAAATATATCTATGCGATCTAATGAGAATCATTGATTATAATATTACATGTCATAAATATATAAACGTTGGAGACACGCGAAATGATCATTTGTTGTATTATCTTTGCAGAAACAGAGAGGCGGATTCGCGCCAACAACCGCGAGTACAACTCACAATTTAATTATGCGGTAAGGGAAAAGTGTCCTGCATTACTAATTTGTCAGAGTTGAAAGTGAAAAAATTCAATATTGCAAATTTAATTATGCACAGCGGATGAAAAATACATTAATATTCTTATCGTTTTGCAGAATAATTACATCAAGACGTCCAAGTATTCGGTTCTGACGTTCCTACCATTGAATTTGTTCGAACAATTTCAGCGGCTCGCTAACTTTTACTTCCTATGCCTGTTGGTGCTTCAGATGATCCCCGCCATATCCTCCTTAACCCCCATCACCACAGCTATACCGCTCATAGGGGTACTCACACTCACTGCCGTCAAAGATGCCTACGATGACTTTGTAAGTATTTTACTGTCAATTTGCCTCATTGATTTTTCTTATTGCATTTCATGGAAAAGAAAATCTAAATAAAAGTAAAACGAAATCTGTATTAAAAATAATATTGTACTTAAAATTATGTTGCAAAAAAATATACAGATTTTAGAGGGAAGGAATGAAATCGTTATCCGTGAGAACATGATGTGATAATTTAATTTTCAGCAACGGCATAGCAGCGATTCTCAAGTGAACAATAGGAAATCCCGAACGCTGCGCGGTACTAATCTTCGTGAGGAGAAATGGTCACAGGTTCAAGTGGGCGATGTAATCAGAATGGAGAACGATCAGTTTGTCGCGGCAGACGTTTTGCTTCTGACAACGAGCGAGCCGAACGGTCTCTGTTACATCGAAACTGCGGAACTGGACGGGTAATGTCTATAAAGTCAATCAATTACGCGAACGTGTAAACACGTGTCTATAGAGATGGCTGTTGCAATGATCTGTGAAACTCGTGCAGGGAGACGAATCTGAAGTGTCGTCAGTGCCTGCCCGAAACTGCCGAGATGATGGATAATCACGAATTAGTCGGCCAATTCGATGGAGAGATCGTTTGCGAAACCCCTAATAATTTGTTGAATAAATTCGATGGAACGCTCACGTGGAAAGGACGGAAGTAAGTAATATCGTAAATGGAATTAAGCGAGAACCAAGTATCTCAAATGTTCTGCAAAAAGCGACAATTGTTTTAAAACCGGAGATACCCGATTCTTGTTTCACACGCATGAGATTTGTTTAAACCAACATGATTATTAATGTTTTGTGAATATTACGTGCAGGTACGCGTTGGATAACGACAAGATTATTTTACGTGGCTGTGTGCTCCGAAACACGCAGTGGTGCTATGGCATGGTGATCTTTGCGGGCAAGGATACCAAACTGATGCAAAACTCAGGGAAGACCAAATTTAAGAGAACCTCTATAGATAGGCTGCTGAATCTCCTCATCATCGGGATAGTGTTTTTTTTACTTTCCTTGTGTCTATTCTGCATGGTCGGCTGTGGTATTTGGGAGAGCCTGGTGGGTCGTTATTTCCAAGTGTACCTACCGTGGGACTCGTTAGTGCCGAGCGAGCCTATAACCGGTGCCACAGTGATCGCCCTGCTCGTGTTCTTTTCGTACTCTATCGTGCTGAACACAGTGGTGCCAATCAGTTTGTACGTGAGTGTTGAAGTTATTCGGTTTGTTCAGTCGTTTTTGATAAATTGGGATGAGGAAATGTACTACGCGCCCACGAAAACGCACGCTAAAGCTAGGACTACCACGTTAAACGAGGAGCTGGGCCAAATAGAATACATATTCTCCGACAAAACCGGAACATTGACGCAGAATATAATGACTTTCAACAAGTGTTCTGTGGCGGGCAAATGTTACGGCGACGTCATTGACGAAGTCACCGGCGAGATCATCGATTTGAGCGAGGTAAGTTTCTTTCGTTTACGCGAACAATCCTAATCCGATGCTGATGACAGGGTACGTGCTATAATCATATTCACATTATCTGTTACAAAATGTACACATTATCGTAAGAAATATGAGCAACATTTATTCATATTATATAGATACGCTTTTAATGCTACATAAGAAACAATATTGGTATGCTTTCGCAAAAATTTTTTCTTGTTTGATAAAGAGATTTGCATACTATACATTGGATAAAATATATTTTTTTTATATATTATATATTTCCTTTTTATAATATTATTTTAACATAAGTTATATAGCCGACAAATGACTTATGATTACGCAAGAAATTAGAGAATGTATTTTTTTTCTTTTTGCAACCATATAGCAAAAAACATATTTACATCATTATTATGCAATTGATATTAAAAATGTCCTTGTGCATTGTTACGTGCTTATATAATTTGTAGAATATTTTTGAGTGTCAATACGTTGTGGTTTCTTTTATGATCGTTACACGATGATTTTTTTTCGATTACATGCAAATATAACGCCAATATGTGTATTGTGGTCGTACTTTTGCAAAAGATTTCATATACATCACTTAGCATGTGTGTGCTGCATGTAGACGGACAGAGCTGTTCCAACGCCAACGATGCGATGGCAGAGCGGACAGGAATTCGTACGTCCAGTTTATACACCATTAAGTGGTCCGAATGTACGTCTTCTGGAACAAGCAGACAGGGTATCCAATACATCACCGGAACCCGGCATCAACGGCAGCCCAAAGACACACAAATCTTCAGTACGCATGTTGATAATTAGCACCTCTTGCCACGATCACGGAATCTGTATACGCTGTCGCTTTTATCTGTTTATCATCGCACACGTGTCTATCACGCACAATGTCATATAAGTCGAAGCACTTCTACTATCTCTATCATGCTCAATAAGAGAATCAATTCGCGTCGACACTCATAACGTATGAATTGTACTTGTCATATTCTTGCATGTTCGGATTTTATGCTATGCTACAAAGTAGATATGTATATACTGTGCTCTCTACTCTTCTTTTTTTTCTATCAAATTAATACATCGTTAAGGTACAATTTCATTTGCGATTATCTTCTTGTCACACGTATGCTTTAAGGATAATACAAAACTAGCGATACATAATCTATTTCTATGGAGGCAAGGTACATACCACTCTGGGTAATACGGTTTCTAGCCCTCCATCTGGCTTTTCTCTCCTTTCCTTTTTTAACAACAGCGGATCTTCCAGTCTACGTCGATCAGATTAACTTTCTTTCTTCTACGTTAACTTCGTTGTAATACGCAAACCAAGATCGGAAAATTTCCTGAAAAGTCTCGTACATTTTGCAGACAATGCCACCTCTGGATTTCTCGTTCAACAAGGACTACGAGCCGGATTTTAAATTCTACGATCCTGCACTGCTCGAAGCCGTGAAACGGGAGAATCAGGACGTTCACAGTTTTTTCAGACTGTTAGCACTTTGTCACACTGTTATGCCGGAAGAAAAAAGCGGCAGGATTGAATACCAAGCGCAATCGCCCGACGAGGCTGCCCTAGTATCTGCCGCTAGAAACTTTGGTTTCGTCTTCAAGGAGAGATCGCCCAACAGCATAACGATCGAAGTGATGGGGAAAAAGGAAATATACGAACTGCTCTGTATTCTGGACTTTAATAATGTACGCAAGAGAATGTCCGTAATTTTGAGAAAAGACGGACACCTCCGATTGTACTGTAAAGGGGCAGATAATGTTATTTACGAGCGACTGAAAAAGGACAGCGAAGAGATAATGGCGAAAACGTTGGATCACCTAAATAAGTTCGCAGGTGAAGGCTTAAGAACATTGTGCCTTTCCGTGAGGGACTTGGACGAAAGTTTTTTCAATAATTGGAAGCAACGTCATCAGGAGGCAGCGTTGAGCCAAGAAAACAGAGACGACAAGCTGGACGCGATTTACGAGGAGATAGAAAAAGATATGTCATTATTGGGTGCTACTGCCATCGAAGATAAATTGCAAGACGGTGTACCGCAGACTATCGCCAACCTGAGTCTCGCTGGCATCAAACTTTGGGTGTTGACGGGCGACAAACAGGGTAAGTTTGAATGGCATATAAGTGTTATAGAAATATATAGATTTTTGTAACGTAAAATGTTGGCAAAAAAATAACATTGAGCTCTCGTATTTATAGAGACAGCTATCAACATCGGATACTCGTGTCAGTTACTGACGGACGATCTCACGGATGTCTTCGTGGTGGACGGCACCACGTACGACGGTGTGGAGACGCAGTTGGTGCGATATTTAGATACCATTAAGAACGCGTCGACCCAACAGCACCGACCGACTCTCTCCATCGTCACATTCAGGTGGGACAAGGAAAGGTCAGGCACATGAAAGAGACGGAGTACAATCTATCAATTTTTTCTATTGCTGATTACGATTAACGCATTCGTTAAGGAAGGAAAAGAAAATTACCTCTCACTGAATGTGATATTATGTTTGCTTTCTATGTCCATGCCTAAAAATTTATCGTACTTGATTGCAGAACACGTACGCTTTATATCCAAGCTAGCGGATCTCGCAACATCGTTCTAATTACGATTAAATTATACAATTACAAATTATCTGAAGATTGTGAGGCGAAAAAACATCTTTAGGCATTTTTCATATTTTCATATCTTCATCAATATAAGGGATGCTACGACCCATTTTGCTGCTATTACGCTAGCGCTTAATTTATCGTATGTGCATCGATTTTATCTCATTTTCTATTTATCTATCGCGAAGTTTAACGTTAAAATTATATTTTGCATGTGTCTCTGATTAGTATTTTTCTACCTTTTATATTTAAAAGCATTACAAAATCGTCTTCCATGTTTTATAACTACTGAAGATATCGAGACTTACTATGTTGATAATATAAGCAGCGATATGGCTGTATTTAGAATGGTAGACTAGATCTTTTCAAACTATTTCAAATATGTTTCAGATATTGCATATTTTATCTGAGGTATCTTACGATTTAGTGATAGATAACTGAGAATTATCATGATGCTTGATACTCACTCCTTCTCTTTCTGTATGCTTAATAATTAATCTTAGTGATAAATATTAACACAACTGGTATGTTGCTTGTGTCACGTTCTTGTATTTTGTAGGAATTAATACAACGCATTGTGTATCGTTTAACGTGCCTCATCTTTTAACGATAAAAAGTAAATTTCAAAGTCTCTTATCATGCTGTTAATGACAGCGGAATTGCGATTTATTATCTTCGGTCTAACTTTTGTTATACTTGTGCATTGTTATAATTGTGAACTATAAATAATTCTTAATTCGAGCTTGCCAAGTAAATACCAGATCCATTGTTTTTTTTATCTCGTTGGAATTAACTATCTTCAGCTTGAAATTCACGTTTTCTCTGCGCAGCAGCGATACAGAATATAATCCAAGTAGAGACGAACAGGATGAGCACGAAATGGAGCATTCTACGGGATTCGCTGTGGTTATCAACGGGCATTCTTTGGTTCACGCGTTGCATCCGCAATTGGAACAGCTTTTTTTAGAAGTGTCCAGTTCATGTAAGTCGAGATCGAAGTCACACGTTTAGAAACCGTCGCTTGACAGCTTGATATTTGCAGGTAAAGCTGTAATATGTTGTCGGGTGACGCCGCTGCAGAAGGCAATGGTCGTCGAGCTGATTAAAAAGAATAGATCCGCGGTGACTCTGGCGATTGGTGACGGTGCTAACGATGTCTCGATGATAAAAACAGCTCACATCGGCGTTGGTATCAGCGGACAGGAAGGATTGCAGGCCGTGTTAGCCTCCGATTACTCGATAGGGCAGTTTAGGTTTTTGGAAAGGCTACTTCTGGTTCACGGCAGATGGTCTTATTATAGAATGAGTAAATTTCTTAGGTATTTTTTTTACAAGAACTTTGCATTCACTCTCTGCCACATCTGGTTTGCCTTCTTTTGCGGATTCAGCGCACAGGTGAGATCTTTGAAAATTTTGCCGAGTTATAATAATAATAATGATGATGATAGAAACGATAAGTAACGTAGAAACAAATGATGTCCCAAAGGCGAATATGATTTGCAACACTCCTTTGTAAGAGCTTGCTCCGAAGTTGAGATTTCGAGTATGAATTTAATTTATTTTTCTGATATTGTAAAAAACAGTATGCGCATTGGAGTAATAGTACGAGCATCAATCATCTCTTGCATATTGTTTTCTTGCAGACTGTGTTTGATCCCATGTACATTTCCGTCTACAATCTGTTTTATACTTCGTTACCGGTTTTGGCGGTTGGCATTTTTGATCAGGACGTTAACGACAAGAATAGTTTAATGTATCCGAAATTATACGCACCAGGACTGCAGAATTTGCTCTTCAACAAAAAGGAATTTTGTTGGAGCGCCCTACATGGGTTTTATGCTAGTTGTGTATTATTTTTAGTACCTTATGGTAAGCATCTTGTTTATTTCTTAAGAAAATTATATCAATACTTATTCTTAGATTACAGCAACATGAATTCATACACGTGCGCGTGTCTTGTATTTCAACAGGGACATACAAGGACGGAGTGTCACCAAAGGGTTACGTACTTTCTGATCACATGCTGCTGGGCAGTGTAGTAGCCACTATATTAGTTATAGTCGTGACTGTTCAAATAGCCCTTGACACATCGTACTGGACAGTTTTTAACCATATTATGGTGTGGGGCTCGCTCATCTGGTATTTTATTTTAGATTACTTCTACAACTTCGTTGTAGGTGGGAGTTACGTCGGTAGCCTTACTATGGTACGTATACACCGCGAATTTTGTTCATTATTTACGAAAATTATAGTTCTATATAGCATTTAATTAATTTACTTTATGCCCGCAGGCCATGTCCGAAGCGACTTTTTGGTTCACAACAGTGATATCCTGTATAATCCTCGTGATACCAGTATTGTCGTGGCGATTCTTCTTTATGGATGTCAGGCCAACACTGTCCGATAGAGTCAGATTGAAGCAGAGGCTGGCCCAACTCCGTTCCCGTCAAAGCCAGGACATACTACGTACACCGTCTACGAGACGTACACGGCGATCTCTACGCTCGGGCTATGCCTTCGCTCACCAAGAGGGCTTCGGCAGGCTGATTACGTCCGGGAAAATTATGCGCAAATTGCCAAATGGTGCTGATTTTAAGTTTTCTATGCCGTTTACAAACAACGTCACGAAGCAGGTTAACGTTGCTTCAACGTCACCAAAGGACAACAGTGCATCTAGAAATTCGCACACACTGGACACGATTAATTTATAATAGCTCGGATGTTAGTCGACTCAATGGACACTGAAGTGCAGGTGATTCTAGTGAATTTTTCTTGATTTACTTAGTTACGGATGTTAGGTGTCAAAATTCAACGCGTCGAATTGATCGACTCCGGTGTATCCCATTGAAATATCGCGTTCTCAATATTTCTGTTGCGTTAATTGCGAGGCGCGAGTGATATTGTATGCAGTATTCGAGAGGATCTCGTGGAGAGTCGATGTCTGTGATTACATTACATTTAATTTAAACATTTATTTATATTCGAAGAAAATTTCGAACAATTAGAAGCTCTATTACAATCTACACAATGGATACCCACGAACAACGATAATAACAATATTAAACTATTATAAATACAACTTTGTTAATGCATATGTCTTTTTAACGCAATGAATTCCAGTGGGATACATTGAGTAACACTACAGTAGAAGTGGCATATGCTATTTACGTCTATACAACACTGTTAAGCATTTACGGATCTGTTATAATTATATGATTTAAATGTTATTTACTTATTCAATACTTTTTTTAATTTTTGCACTTAGGCCACAAGTAAGTGCACATAATATGCATTGATTTAATATGTTAGACAATGATTATATGTACGTAAATAGTATGTTTTACAATAATTATATGCTGTATGGAAAAATAGCTTATGCTACAATGTAGATTACGTTTTTAATCGTTATTATAAAATTATGTGAGAACAATCCTGAATGTCAGAGCATGTTGCGGACAATCTTAATATTTTGTTCAACAAAGGTCTCGAAAAGTGATAATTATATATTTTCTTTTCATTCATCAATGTGAAGTAATATTGAAGACAAGTATTAATACAAAAATGTAATTTTTTTAAAAATACATAATTTATATTAATATTAATTGAAAATTATAAATTTATTATAAAATTAATTTCATAGGTTTTTAATAATTGAATAAACAAACTTTATTTTGATTACTTATTTGCATGCGTATAAATTATGAGTAAAATATTAATTTTTAAAACAATACTATTTTGCATAATTCATACAAATCGTTTCTTTCATTGAAAATTCTAAATAATAAAAATATATATTCTCAGCATTTAGTATTATTTGTAATTTTGTGGATAATTCTCAGTCCATTTTATTGAAAATTACGACACAAACTAATGCAATAACATCGGAAAGAATAATTTGCATTGTTACGCACTCCCTGTGTATATAATAGAAGTATTGCATAGAGGCGTCAAAATCTTGTAATTATCCTACCTTGTACTATATATTATCCTAGTATGAGTATGATTACTGTAAAAATAAAAAAAAAACATGTTTGCACGATATACTATAATAATAAGGATAATAGTTACATTGATCATTGCCTTTATAAAACATGAATACAACAAACGATTTAAAATATTGTACCATAGCATTGATTGTAAATATTTTAAAGAGATATATATTATATTAAATGTTAAGTATATACATTTTTTAAAAGAAAGTAATATATATAGATAGATCGATTTAAAAAAATACGAAAATAGTAGCTATATTGTATTACACTATCGCGGATAAAGTTTGCCTTGTGGACTGACTACTGAATACATATAATATTATTAAAGTGAAAAAAAAAACAGTAGCAACAATGGAGTATGTATTTCTACTTTTAATATTACAATGAAATTTACGGAGGAATAGTGTGTACGAAAAAAAAGTATGTTCCGCAATCAAATTATTCATTTTCAACGGAGAACGTGGATTTTCAGTTGCTTTCAAACATGGTGCCTAATCGTCAAACTACACGGTGTCACAAAGCTCCCATTTCGTTAGTTTACATTTATATAATGTACACTTCGTTTTTCTATGTGAATAGCAGTAAGTGGATTATTTTAAATTTTTATTAGTTCCAGGCGCAAGCATTCAGTAGTTTGTATAACAGAGTTGTCTCTTTTGTATCATACTATATATACTCGTCCGAGTTTTGCAATACAAAAATGAAATTCTTTCAAACTAAGATTCTGAAGTTTTTCTTTTGCGTATTATAAAGCATCAATCATTATCGTAAATACATTGTCGAGGAAAGTAAATTATCGATTTATGAAATAATAAACTCTGCAATTGATGAGTTTCGTATGACATATCTTATATTACAAAAACAAATTTTCAGTCTATTCAAAGTAATTTTTTCTTTTGGAAAGGAAGCTTATAAGTAATAGGCAATGAATGATTTTCGTATTGTGAGAATATTTACCAATAGTCATATAAATGAATAAAAAAATTATTTGAAAGAATATATTTGTAAATTAAAAATAACGCTGAAAATGTAAAATATTTCGGTAACATTTAAACCATATGATAACTTTTGTTATAACTTCTTTGTATTAATACATATATAAACATGTTCCTTCATATGGGAAAATTAAGCTTATACAGTCAGAGAGTCAAATGCACAGTTTACATTCTTATAAAAGCTGATTTACATTCATTTTTGTAATATTTTGCGCTACTAATTATAATCTTCTAATTATAAATTTATGCAGGATTATCTGTGTACATTAGTTTGTCAACTACAAGTAATATTCTTATATTTGCAAAATTAAATATCAAAATTCTGAAATAATATATTTTATCCCATGTGCTGTATAGGTTTGGAATAATTTTACTTTTCTTTTTATTTTCAAGAGACTAAAGAAATTAAGATTTCTTATTAATGTCGGAATTAATATCCTGATTAATTGCATATGAAAAAAGTGGGAACTAAGGAAATTATTATTTTAAAATCCTGATAATTAACATAATTGATATGCTTACTTAATGTAAGACAGATAAGAGTTACGGAAAACATATAATTACAAAAATATTGTTGATTGCATAAACTGTTATATGCATGTTACAAGTCAAATGCTGAATCAAATTTGAAAAAGTCCGCTGCATGTGCTCTACTGATTATGTATCAAACATTAATAGAATTTGGAAACGTTGTAATTTACTTATATTTCAGTACACAATACATAATATACAGTTTTACATACCCGTGTTTCTCATAGCAGTTGGTGCACATTTTCTTTAAAATGTTTCACTTGTACACATCCTTGACAGGAGATACTAATATACGACAATAATGCGGTCAGTTAAATATAATACAAATATGTATTATATGTGATTGCTAAACAGTATCGATTACATTTTTGTCTAATTTTTTTTAATACTTTTCTCATCTAAAATAAACCACTTATTCTTTCATTAATTTAACTTTTCTTCATATTCTCAAAAATTATTGGATCTCGTGTTCACGTTTCTTTATGGATTTTTTTATAATAAAAATGTACAAACTTTCAGTATCATCCTGTCATCTTACATCGATCATCTTTAATAAGCATTAGGATTCATATTTTCCATAACAGAGCCATGCAGAGGCATCGTACATAAATCAATATTAAAATTTAAGATGTTTCTTGTATACACGCTAATGAAGTCTAATATTATCACAAAATTATATATAGATATGTTATGGTATACCTAGTAACAAAATAGAGAAATAATCACGGTACCGAATAGTAGCACACTTGATCTATCATGAATCTTACAATTAGTTATTGTTGAAAAGGACTAGACATAATTCCATTAATGTATTCAGTAATATTTTAATACATTTGTTAAATTGCTCTTGCGATCACATGTGATTTATTAGATAAGTTTCTTAATGAACGCAATGTAATATTAGCAAATTTATGTTCTGTATTTTTTTTTATGTATATCCTGATAATATTTCAGTATTACATCAAATTTTATAGTATGTAGATAAGTGTGTCAAATTATATTTTATTTGAAGCGAAATATTCAAAATTACATTTTTGTTTTCACTGACTGTCTTTCCACTTTCTTTTTTTAATTTTGATGTATTAATACTAATACATATACTTAGGAGCAGTTATTGTGTGTTAATAATATGGAGAAGATATTACATAAGTATTACATATAGTTCAATTCGAATGAAAGGGACCAGTATATGTACGTAAACGTGACTATCATTTGCAGCACGCTTTATCGTGCTTCTTCAGATTACTTCTAATTAAATCTCCGTTTATCTAAAAACTTTTCTCTTGCTATTTATCGATTACTTTCAAAGTATTTGTGACATTGGTCTAAAACGAAGATATATTTGTAATAACTGTAATATAACTGGCAGTGCATGAGAAAAATGTGTAAATAAAATGCGCTTTGTGACGGATTGAAATAATCTTGCGAATTGATGTATATTTATATATGTATATAAATTGATGATGGCCATAATCTTTAACATTTTACATTAAAATAATTATACAATTTATTTTACAAAAAGCCTCTTGTTCCGCGTCAAATTTAAAGAACAAGATATACTCAGTGTAAACTACTTCGGTTTTTAAACGCACCTATCATTCTAAGTTGCCTTTATATTAAATAAAATTTCGTTCTTTGCATTTACCTTAAATTAAAAATACCGTTTTTATGTTTATGAGAAGAATGATATGAACAAGAATATAAATTTTTTCCTTTTGCTAAGTTCGTACAGCTCATATTGATATGTGCATTAATAATTAGGAATAATTTTATATTAAATTGTATTTTTGTTGCGATTGTATTGATTTATAGTCACGTATATCTGTATATATATATATATATATACATATAGTTAGAAACATTTTCAATACAGTTTAATCAAGTATGAACATTATTTAAGCATGCAGAATCATATGTTCATCAAATATGAGTTTAATGAAATGTTCTTTGATAGTAATTTATTGGTGGCCAAATGCAAAGTTCAGGAAAGCCTTTGTAATTTTATCTCATTTTTTTCTTCCTAGAAAATTTAATAAATTCACTAATAACAAATGATCGCATTAGCAAAGTGAAATCTGTTATGCGCGAGCATTGTGTTATTGTCTGTACTTATCATGAAGAATTTTATCTAAGAACACTAGCTCGAGTGCTACATTAATTTGTGATTAACTAGTCGCTCTACGGTATACTTCAAATCAGATGTTTACAATTTATAAAATCGTTCGAAAAAACAATGTTTCTTATTACTTTTTAAGTTAATAAAAATAATGCGGCGTTATGTTGCATTTTTTAACATACGCATCATTTATTCATTCATTTATTTATTCATTTCATGTTGCTATCTGCTACATGTATTTATTCCTATACCTCATTCATTCTCGATTATTAATCATTCAGAATATTGTGCTCTGCTTGACAAAAATCTTTCAATATTTTCCAGTAATTCAGAAAGAATTAGTTAGAATCTCTTATCAAACTTTGTTTAAAAAAATTTCAGATTATTAAACGTGATCTAATTTGTTATGCGTGTATATACATATAAATATCATTATTGAAGTATTGAAATAATAATACTTTTCATGATGCCACAATGCCGATATAATACTTGCACATACAGTATCACAACAAAGATCTTCGTTCTTCTAATTTCCAAAATTTTCACTATTGTATTCAACAATTTCCCGCTTTGTCCATTTGTGCTAATATCACAATTAAAATTGTAATTTTTTCGCTAAAGAGGCACCTTCTATCGACTCTAATAATTTTCTTTTCAAACTAGGTCTTTCTTCACGTTGACGTTTGATGGTTGTAGGCAGAGGTAATTTAGGTCCAGGTGTAGGCGCTGGCTTGTTACTGCAGTACGGCATCTGCAGCGCTTGATCACATGTACATCTTTCCAATGGATTGACATTCAAAAGACTAGCGATTAAATCGAGCAGATCGTCACTGGCAGCGGTGAATATGTGCTTCAACGGTGTGCCTGGGAAAGGTTTGAATTGAATGAAGTCTGGCAATTCAGTCATCCCTTGCCATGTTTCCTCTGTAGGAGTGCCCAGTGTCTAAATAACAAAGAAATCATTCAACATCTGTAGATTACAGAAGTGACTTCTTTAAATCACATATTTCAGATAAATAAAAATATATTACTACCTGGAATATCCTTGTGAGTTGATCCAAATCAGATTCACCAGGTAAAAAAGGCACTCGCAGCAAAAGCTCAGCTAATATACAGCCTACCGCCCACATATCGATCCCAGTTCCATAAAGTCTAGCACCGTAAAGTAATTCAGGCGCTCTGTACCATCTCGTGACTACTTGATGAGTGTTTATCCGATTAGGCGATCCAAAAAACTTTGCCAAACCAAAATCTCCAATTTTTAAAACACCCTCTGAATTCACTAATAAATTATTTGGCTTTAAATCTCTGTGAAGTATCCAATTGAAATGAAGATAATCTAAGCCTTGTAAGGTTTGGATCATATAAGCCTTGATGTTAGCTGCTGTTAGAACTATATTGCTGTCTTTTATTATCACTTCCAAATCAGTATCCATAAAATCAAATACTAATGATACATTTGATTTGTAGCCAAAAACATCTAAAATTGAAATATATTTGTAAGTATAAACATTTATTTTTATATAAATTAGAAGTGGTGTAAAAATTAATAAAATGTACATTTTGATATTTTATACCATTTCTTTCTTTAAAATATAAGATTTAAATGCATTGTAGTAAAGTTCTAGACCTCTCAAATGATGTGATATAAAATTCTAAAACATAAAAATGAATAAAATGTACATTTTAACACTAATGAACATTTTATTCAATTTTAGAACTTTAGAACTTTACTTTATGCTTTAGTACATAAAAATTTTACATTTTAAAGAAAGAAATAGTCTAAAATGTTAAAATGTATATTAATATATATCAATAACATGTCTCCCTAAGAGAGAAAAATTAAATACATACCTAAAAGACCAATGATGTTATCATGTTTTAACTCTTGTAATAGTTTAATTTCTCGCAAAGCAGTTCTATTTATTCCATCTCTTGCTTCTGCGCGACTTCCTACTTTAATCTATAAGTAAAAAAAATTAATTCAAAGTTTATTATATAAATTATTATGAAGGTATGTTTTTTTTCAATGATGACAAAACTAACCTTTTTAACAGCTACGATTTTATTTGTTTCCACATCTCTCGCTTTATAAACTGTGGCAAACTAAAATGTACAATATATTCTGTATATTTTTGTGTAAATGTTGATTATTTTCATGTAATTTTAAACAAATTTAAATGTAAATTATGAGAATTACATAAATAAAATATTACATTACAATATTATAAATAAGCACTGCGCAAAACATAAAACATGTTGTAAATTACATATGTTGTAATATATGTATAAATATTAATAAATATAATACAGATATAAGATATGCAAAAACGGCAACGTATGTATGACCTAACCTGCCCTTCGCCTAAAAAGTCGATTTTTTCATATCTCCGCACTTTTTCTGTCATTGTTGAAAAATTAATTACACAATTGTGTTTTACTTTATATTTTAATTGTTCTCATACAGTTTCTAAATGCTGAGCTTGTTCAATATTTTTATTTCTTTTACAACATGTGATCACATGACATTGATGCAAGTACATATGAATGATCCATGGATCCAATCTGAGAGAAGACTGAGAGTGGACATGCCCGCATTTTACGTGTTTCCGTGGGTTAGCGCCTCTATGTGCACAAAACGTGCACATTAAACTACGTAGCCAATGTCCACGAATCCCGTAGACAATGTCCATGATCTTTTGGGTCTCTTCCGTGCTACGTCTACGACTTTTTGGTTCCGATATGTGCTATATCTACAAAGTGTCGGTAATGCATACTTGTAAAACATGATTATGTATATCAATCAGATTTGAAATATAAATACACACTTGTTGTAAATACATGTATTGTAGCATTTACTTTTACATTTACAGTTTATTTAGCAAAAAATCAGTTATTTTCAATAACCTGTAATTCGAAAATGTACATTTAAATTATTTTAATAAATTACTTCTATAATTTTGTGTGCGTGTGCGTGCGCGCGCGCGCGTGCATACAAGTGTGCAAATTGTGTACCGCACAAAGTTTCATTCAACAATTAAGTTTTAAAATTTAATTCTATATTTTTAACACTACACATACACAAAATTTTGTATGCTTGTTCTGGAAGACTTTAATTTCTTCTAAAACAAATATTGTATATCAATTGAAAAAAACCGTGTCATAAAATTTGAAACTATATTGGTCGCATCGAATACTTGTTTATTTTTTAAAATATGACTGTCCTAAAAATTACTCTTTTTAAAAATTGTGTATTTACCAATTCTTTATAAATCAGATATTGTCAAAAATTATTTTAAGAATATCTTATTTATAAAAGATTGGTAAATAAAAATATGCAACCAAAATGAATGAAATAATGAGACAACAAAGGACTTTTTGAAATTTTTTTAATTTGGAAATACATAATTTACAGTTCAATATAACAGAATCGTTAAAAAAATTTGAAACATTGTGGTTTATAATTACAGAAAAACAGCTCATAACAATTCTTTACACGTTTTCACGTCACAAAATTATTCGCTCACGCTACGAACCGACTAAAACAAATGCAGTCTACAAACTTTGATGGGTATTTGTTTCTGATTGTTGCTTAAGATTGTCAGTATAACATAGAAAAGCATTCAGTAAGCATCGATTTCCATTTATAACTTCTCGTTTTAATAATTCATTATCATGGGCAGAAAAAGCAAAGAAACAAATCTAGAAGTTAGGAAATTAATTATTTTTTACTGGAAAAATGGTAAATTTTAAGAGAAATTGGAAGTATTGTTTGAAAAAGTTATTCGACGGTGCGATCAGGGTCGCGTTTGTAAAATTTGTGCCCAGAGGCTTGTGATCTTTGAGCGCCTCGATCTAGCCTCCCTCCCCCAATGAGTAAACAGTAAATAATTAACATTTTAAATATTAATATAATTCTACCAAAATACATTTAAGAAGATAATTAAAAATGGAACATTTTTGTAAAAGTGTAAAAGATAAAGAAACATTAAATAAAAATAAAAATTATACCTGCAAAATCACACCTAAAAAATAAAAACTTAATTAAAATCTGAAAAATTAAAATATTAAGTTAAAATCTGAAAATAATTATAGATAAAAAATTAAAATTTTTATGACGCTACATCAAACAGCATGTTAAAAAACTTTCTTAAAAGCATTAACCAGATATACATATACATATCAAATATATAAATATAAAAGATAAAGAAACATTAAATAAAAGTCTGAAAAATCATACCTGACAAATTACACCTAAAAAATAAAAGCGTTTAATAAAAATCCAGAAAATATTTATTTGTTTAGGAAACTATT